CAGGGACATATAACTGCAGTGGTCATGAGAGGAACCCTGAGTTCAGAGAATCTGAATCGCCACTATCTTGCCGAGCATGATGGTACATGCCTATAATCCTGGCTACTTTTGAGGCTGAGGCAGGAAGATCATTTGGGCCCAGGAATTTGAGGCAGCCTGAACAGCATAATGAGATCTTATCCTAAAAATAAAGAGAACAAAAAGCAAAAAATGTTTGAATCTAATGGGCAGTATGTCTACCTGTCTTTTGCTCCGAAGGGAGAAAATATCATTATAAAAACATCTTTGAAAAGATTATTCAGTATCTTTGAAAATGTTATTCAGGACCTGGCTCTCAACATAATCTTTTTTAAACAATTTTTTGGCCTGGAGGATCAAAAGTTTGAGATCAGCCTGAGTGACCCTATCTCACAATGAAATGAAATAAAATAAAACAGGCAGGAGGGGTAGCTCAATGACAGGGCACTCGCCTAGCATGTGTGAGGGTCTGGGTTCAGTCCCCAGCACCACAAAAAACAATGGTGGTTTTCGGTTCCCCCTTCCTGAGCCACATCGCATTGGCTGAATCTGAGGGTGTAGAACCCAGTGATACGGAAGGCTCATCGCACTGACAGATTACTTTATAAAAAACAGCATTCATGTATCCTTTCACCCTTCCTTGTAGGAAAGAACGTCAGCTCTGCCTGACCTCAAAAGTCCAAATACAGGTCCCGCTGTAATGATGACCTGTTGTTCCAAAGAGCAGAGGAGAGCTGCGAAGCCCATGACATTCAAGATCTAGTGCCAGGCCAGCAGGGATGGCATGGAATTATAATGCCAGGGGCTCAGGAGGCCGAGGCAGAATTGTGAGTTCTAGGGCAGCCTGGGCAACCTAGTGAGAACTTGCCCCAAAAGCCAACAAAGCAAGTAACAGCAAAAGAAGACCAAGCGCCTCCCCGCACCGATTCTCGTGTGTGGAAGGTGATCGGCTGGGGGGCTCTGACTCACAAAACTGAATGTAGCTGGTAGGAGTGGGGTCTATCAGAAGAGGCAGGTCACTGGGCACCTGACGAGGAAGGGTGTACTGTGTGTCCACCCCGCCGGCTCCTCCCTTCACTCTGCTTGGGGGCCTCCGTCAAGTGAGCTCCTCTGCCAAACCTGGAGCCAGCCGACTGCCAACTGGGCCAAAATAAAGCTCTCGTCCTTTAATTGGGAGCCTCAAGCAGAGAGGAAAGTGATGCAGACACAGCGGCGCACTGAGGTTGAGCTGGGCGGGAGGAGTTGGAGGTTCTCCTTTAGGAAGTGGTGACATTTGGGTAGAGTACTGAGGGGGAGACCGGATAGGGGAACAACAGGTGTAAAGGCCCTGAGGGAGGAAAGGACTTTAGCAGATGGGTGGTACTGAAAGGAGCCCATTGTCTGTGCAGAGAAAATAAAATGTAGGAAACTGGGTAAGGTGGCCCACCCTGTAATCCCAGCACTTGGGAGGCTGAGGCAGGAGGAGTTCTAGGGCAGCCTGAACTACATAGCGAGACCCTGTCTCAAAACAAAACAAAGAAAGAGAGAAAAACGATGCTTCTTGGTGTTCATGCCCTCTGTCATCCCCAGGGTGTGTTGGATTTACCCACTCAACCTCCTCCTTCCTTCCCTCTCTCCCTTCCTTTCTTCCTTCAAAATGTTCTCTGTGCTAAACTTGGTGAATCTCAGCAATTTCCTTAAGTTCAAAAATCTTTTGCTGATAAGAGCTGTATTCTGGGCGCTACCCAGTACATGCCTGCGTACCCTGTACCACACAGCTGAGGGCTTATTTTCGCTTCACTCAAAGTCGAGGACACACTGGCACTTAGATGCGGCCACTGACCGCTGCGGATACTGAAGACAATCTCTTGGGTACTGACTCACTTCTGACACTGCAGAAATGCAGGCTTCACTGGGGCTAACAAGTAGAGCACTGCAAAAGATGGTGGCTTCCATTCTGAGCCACAGAATGGTCCCCCCACCCCATCCCCACCAGGACACTCAGGAGGCCTGTGGCCAGCATCCCTTCAGTGAGTGCGGACGCAGACACTCCAGGACACCTAGCCCTGAGAGTGTGCAGCCCCAGCCAACGGCTTGACTGAAAAGTCACGAGAAACCCTGAGCTAGAGGTACCAGCTCAGCTGTACCCAGATTCCAACTGGGATATTAAATGTTTTTTTGTTTTAACCTACTATTCGTCACACAGCAGTGAAATGGCAGGAGGCCTTCTGTAACCGTGTGTGACTGGGTCGATTGGTAAAACTGTTGGTTATATGAGTAATAGTGGAAGCTGTTTTGTGATGTGTGGCCACACCTCTTCCTGGCAGCGGATGTCCAGTGCCTTCTGGGGACCCCTGGTGGTCCTAAGAGGGAGGTGGCTGAAATGAGGCGGTGTGCCAAGAGGCGATTCCCAAGCAACTGGGCAAGGGGTACCATCCTCTATCAAAAACCTGGGGATTTGGCTCAGCGGTTCCGCCACCTGCCTCGCAAGTACAAGGGCCCCGGTCCCTGGTACCAAAAAACAAACAAACGAAAATCCATCCTTGACAATAGATTAGCAAAGTCAGGTGACAAGTGTGCCCTCCCATCCCTGCGTGCCGTCCCTGATGTGGCACCTTGGGCTCAGATCCCCGCATTAGCCTGGCTCTTTGGCGCCCAACTGATTTCTTACCAGAGTCCTGACCTGTGCCCACGCTATCCCCACCCTACATCTTTGTCCTTCCTGCTTCAGCGTTGCCCGTATCCGACAATTCTAATTGCATCTGGTGGCCACTTGGAGCCCACAGCCCAAAATGTGTCCTTTCAGGAGGGGCCCTTCCTTTAGGTGGGCCAGAGGCTCAAGCGGAAGGGCGAAGGGCAAGGCTGCTAGCAGGGTCCCCATCCAGTTGGCAACACACAGGGGACACCCAGTACACTAACTGGTGCAACCCAGCTGGGCACCCACTGCCGGTGCTTCCTGCTGCTGCCTCAGCGATCAGCTGAACCGCAGGTGAGTCAAGGGCTGCTCTGCAGTTCAGAGGAAAGAATGTCTGTTAATGTACGTCCGCATCCCGGGCCGAGGCAGGAAGACTCCGTGACGGAACTGTCTGAAAAATAAAACTAGCGAGTTAGGAGAGGCCGCCGAGGAGCTGTTAGCACGAGGACATCAGGTGAGAGGCCCAGACCCTACCAGGAAGCTGCAGTGGCTCTCTCAGCCCCCTCGAGGGCCTGGGCATCGCACAGGATTTCCAAACACTTCCTTTTTCAGAAGTGAAATTTTGTTCCTCAGATACTACAAGTAGCCACTGCCTGGCAGGTAAGTGGAGCTGTGGTTGGGGGTGGAGGGTGCCGGGAAGGTCGGAGTCCTGCCCGCTGGGGTCCCTCTTCTGTTCCTCCCTGGGCTTCACCATCTTTCTCATCCCCCACACCCCAGCCAGCTGCTGCTCCCCACCCTCTTAGTATCTGAGCCCAGAAACCCTTCTACTGCACCTGCGGCAGTCCACGGGCATTGCCTGTCCAGGCCGAATGGAGGGGGTGGGGCCTGGGGAGCAGAAAACTGGATCCTGGTTCCAGCTAAAACTGGGCATGGCAAGTCAAGGACACAGGCTCCCGACTGCTCATTCCTGGGGACTTGGGGAGCAGACAGGAATTCTACAGATGAATGTCCCTTCACAAAGGTCAGCCAAGGACTGCCACCACTGTGCAGCGAGAATGTTTATTGAGAATGGCTCGTTACAAACAAAATAGATTTATGTATAAAATCTGCAATGCCAAAGATCCCTTTTGTCCTCCTGTGGGAACAGTGGTGCGCACTGTCCCACGTGGCTCCCAAGCCTCCCCTGGGCTGTAGTGTGAGGACAGGCTGAGCCGTTGCAGTTGCTACAACCTCCATCCAGGCTCTTTCTCCAACCCCACTTCTGTGACTTGCGGAAGAATTTTAACACGGGGCTGACATCCTGCCTGTGACCTCAGGCAGGTGGTCTTGTGAAATCGCAGAGAGGTGACCTCTACTTTGTAACTTGCCCATGAAGCCATCCTCTGGGCCAGGGACTGAGCACTTCTAGATGTCCTAGATGGCTAAGGTGTTGTGTCCACTTTCTGTGGAGGCCGCTCCCCCGACAGCCACACCAGCGTGTGCGCTGTGCCCTGTTCGCAACCTGTTATCTTGAAAGCATCACTTCCTCCCACTGGTTTCCTTCATGCAACTATTCTAAGTTTTATCTGGATTTCTCCTGAGGATGTCCACACTCCACAGATGCCGTATGTGGTACTCCTGGGTTTGGAGCCAGAGTTCCCTGGGACTTCGGGGGATCCAGCATTAAGGCCATGGAAATAAGACCAGACTGAAGGGCTGGGATTTATCTCAGTGGTGCCGCTGCCTGACTCACAAGCATAAGGACCAGAGTTCGATCCCCAGTACAAAAAAAAAAAAAAAAGACTTTGAAGCCAACACAGGTTTCCAAAACCCAAGGTGGCTGCCTAGCTAACAGCACCTTGGCTCAAGGCTGCATCTGGTAATGAGGAACGGTAGACAGCCCTTGTAAGCAAGACCCACCTCTGCCCCTCTGAGCTACAGCAGTGGGGCGGGGGGTGGCTGGCACGTAGGGAAGCACCTGTCTCTTCGTCACAGGAGCCCAAAGGAATGGGTATCCCCAGCCCCGGTGGGAATAACCCACTTCCCTTATTTCTTATAGACCTGGGTTGAAGACCCACTGTCCCGGGCAGACTGTCCCCAGACTGGGCTGGTTGCCTCCTCTGTAAAGCAAGGGGCATGGGATTCAGACCACTGGCCAAGCCCCTTCTCTTCAAAAGAGAACTTCGGCTGGCTTACCTGCTGTGTGAAAAGAGGTGTTAGTAGTTCCAAAGTACCTGCAATCTCACTATTATTCCAAAAGTGAAAACTTAAAACCTCAGTAAAATAAGCTGGGTACAATGGTGAACACCTATAATCTTAACACTTGGGAGGCTGAGGCGGGAGGATCACTAATTTGAGTTGTTTGGGGGCAATTTATCAAGACCCTGTTTCAAAATTTAAAAAAAGGGCTGGGGACGCTGCTCAGTGTGAAGGCCCTGGGCTCAATCTCCAGTACCACAAATACAAATACTGTTGCTCTACCACTACTGCCCCTCTGCCAGAAAACAAGAAGGCGAAGAAACCAGCTCCAGTCGGTGCTCCTTGGATGTGCTGTACGATCCTGGACAGGCACTGCTCATGTCCATCAGGGACAAGAGACCCAGTGTTCTGTGTGAAAGGTCTTGGTGTGAAAACCAGGGGTGGGGGTGGTGACCGCAGGCTGCCCGTGCTCACGGCTTTGGGGCTCCCCACTCCAGAGGCCTCCACTGTCAGGATTTAGGTGGGTCAGCAGGCCTTGTGAGTGAGGGGCCAGGGGGCTGCAGAGCTGTTTATTCCTGAAGCAGCTCCCTGATGCTGGCCACTGGGCCCAGCCACTACCGAGGGCCCCACCCTATAGAAACGGAGTACCCAGAAGGCTGCGGGGACCCCGGCATCCCCAGGGGCCAGGGCGCTGCCGAACAGCGTGGCTATGAGGCGCATCTACGCTGCACAACAGGGGCCGGAGGCCTTGTAACCAGTCACTGAAACGTGCCCCCACTGGGAGGGAAGAGGAAGGAGGCGGTGGTGATGGCATCCACCATGGGGACAGGGAGCTCTGCAGCACTTCCAGGAGGCCGGGGCTTAGCGTGGTCCCAGGGGGTTAGGTTCCTCCGTACCCTCTAAACCACATATGCTGCCCTGACAAGTCCTGAGGTCTGTGAGGGTGACCGACTTAGGCCTCTCCCCTCGCTGTGGGTCTCTCTCTAGGAAGCAACAAGGGCACCCCTAGGCCTGCACTTCCTCTGGGCCTGACTGGAGTCAGGTTTGATGTCCTGAGCGAGGCTTCCATCTAACGGCCTGAAGATGCCTCCAGCAGCCAACAGGTGCTTGGGGTAAGCAGCAGGACAACACAGCCCTGCCGGACAAAACAGGTGTGCCAGTTTCCCAGAATTCCGGGGCACTTTGTCAGACAGCCTAAGGCTCCAAGTCCCAGCAGCCCCAGGCCTGGGTGTCCTGAGTGGGCCTGGCAGGGGTAGAGCGTGCGGTGGGAGGACCTGGGCACAACAGGTCCTGATGTCAGCTATCCAGATAGACAAAGAGGATGTCCTCATCCGTGCCATAGCTGGTTCTGGCTTCCTCAAAGTTACCGATACTGGTGCTGCACATTCCTGCTGGGGACAAGGAGAGAAAAGTGGGGTCAGTGATTGAAGACAGAGTGCTTCCCCCACCCAGTACCCGCAGGAGCCGGATGAGGTCTGGGTCCCACCTGCCTGCCCACTTCTCCCGGCCAAGCCCTCTACCCCCGAGGAGCCCTCCTCGTCATTTTCTCTGACCCCTCCCCAGGTCAGCAGAGGAAGTGAGGCCTAGAGAGAGGAAGGAGGATGCTCTGGGCCACGTGGGCAGGTCAGGGGAGTGGCCCTTCCCTCGCCCTGAGGGCAGCGGGCAGTCTGGAGCAGAGGCCAGGTCTGGCCAGACTCTGATGACGGCACCGTCTGTCCTGGGAGCGGACGGCAGCCTGTGCGGCACGAGTCACGGAGGTGGGGACCTGGGCAGTGCGGTGTGTGTACGTCTGAGGTGGAGGGGGTTAGCACTGCTGCAAGCGTGTGGCTGGTTTACCTGCCTGAGAGGGCGGTCCAGAGGACCAGAGCATGCGCAGGAGGAGCAGGCGTTTTGGGGAAAGGCAGAGAGAGAGATCGCGGCCACAACAGTTTGACAGGGAAGCAGCCGAGGACGGTGCATGTCATCACCCCGTCCCACCCCGCCCCCAGCACTCACGGTCCGCGTAGGCTGGGTTGTTGTAGAAGATGCAGCCAGTGGCCCTGTTGTAGCCCCGCAGCACAATGAAGTGGCCCTGGTAGTCAGGGGTCCGACAGAAGCAGCGATGTCCGTTGGGGGCGAAGCAGCAGTACTTGACGGGGCTGGAGCACAGGTCGCAGTGCAGCACCCCTGAGTTCACCAGCACAATGGCGACATGGCCCTGAGCCAGGTGCACCTGGATGTCCTGGATGCTCACCGTGCTGTGGGTGGGAAGGGGGTCAGCTAGTGGACAGGTCTGTCTGCAACCCCGCTTCTCTGTGACAAAAAACGTAGTGACCTGGATTGTCTTCCCTCTGCCCTGAGACCCCTGCATACACCTAGAAAAGTCCTTGCTTGTCACTTTAGCCCAGGCTCAGGACAGATACAGGGGTGGGTGGCAGAGAGGTGATGTCGGAGAGAGCACGGGGACCAGCTGGTCTTGGCAGGAAGGGCAGGTAGGGGGTCAGATCAAGACGGGTCCACTAGAGTAGCAACTGCAATTCCACCCCTAGCCCGGATGGCAAGTTTTGGGCCATGCTCCATTTCTTCTTTACCCCAAATCCCCTGTGGTTTTCCCTGGGACCTTCTAGCCCAATTCACTTCCCCAAGTCACAGTCAAGCTTGGCTCAGGCAGATCCCAAACTGAATGATTTTCTAAAAGGGCTATTTTTCTTTTTCTCCTAAGGTTCCCTGTAGCAGGAGGCATCCTCAGGCCACGCTGGTCGGCAGCACTTACAGAGCCACAGGTTCCGCTGAGGCATCCTGGAGGCAAACTCACGGGAACCATTCTGTTCTGTGTACCTCAGCAGGCAGCAAACCCAAGTAAAAACTTCAAAGGAACCAAAGGGGCTTAAAGGCCCAGGCCAGGAGTGCCCATCTGTTGAGCGGGCTCACCACGGGGCCACCTTCATTAATGGTCTCCGCAGGCCGGCAGCGTCAGCACGCTGGGCCTCAGCTGAGTCACGTGGCATTTTGGTTTGCTGCCTTGGCCAAGGAAACCTGTTATTTTTCACTTTTGAAGAGCTGGTAGTGTTCCCAATGAGGTATATAAAGGGAGCATTTCAGGTATGGAAAAAAGCAGGAGCCAGGCGTGGTGGTTCACGCCTGTAATCCCGGCACTCTGGAGGCTGAGGCAGGAGGATCGCTGTAAGCTCAAGACCAGCCTGGGCTACACAGTGAGTTCCAGGTCAGTCTTACTACACAGTGAGACCCTGTCTCAAAAAAACAAAACAAAAAAAAAAAGCAGGAGCGGCCTGGAAGGGCCAACTCCAGTTTCACAGAATAGTGAGTATGGACATTGGGGACGTGGGTTACACACAACCACATCTTCTCCAATCAATGTGACCACACCCAGGAGGGCCCCTAAATAAACGTTTGCTGCCTTTCCTTCTAACATATACTGATGTGGTCAAAGGATGAGTAGAGATCTGTGTCCCCACTTTCCAAATCATCTATCACGTGGTAACATCGTATTAATCATGAACACATCAATCTATGAAGTACGGGAAACTCTGAGAAGAACGGTTCCAGACAGCCGGGCTGGAGACCAGAGGCATCAGACTTGAGCAAGGCTTCCCCAGCAAGCCTGGAGAAAGACTGCCACTCACATCCAGGCAAGCCGCCTCCAAGGTCTGCTTGCACGCAGCCTCTAGCACATGTTCAGGAGGGAGAAGGCCCGTGTAAGGTCAAAGCACATGGCACTAGGCTTCCCTAAATAGCTGCCCGCTGGGTCCTTCCTGGTCCCTGTCCCTGTCAATCGCCCTGTCGGCACATTCCTTAGGCTATCACTTGTTCATTAGAGCATCTGTGTTCGGTCCCAGGTCATAAGCCTGTAACAGTCCAAGGGTGGGCCACAGTCTGTCTTGCTCACCTGTCCCTCCAGCATCGGCTCAAGATCCAACTCAGGCTGGGGTCTAGGTTCTGTAGCCCCACCGACCCCCATTTTACAGAAGGAAAAACCAAGGCTCGGGAGGACAGTTCAGCGCACCCAGCTCCCAGGGTAGGAAACTCCTGTGCTACCTGACTCCAGAGCTGCAGCCTTTTCCAAATGCCATTCTGAGCAGCGCTTCAATCTCAAGTCTCCCCATGTTAGTGGCTGTGTAAGGAAGAGCGGAGCGGGGAGAGCTCACCATTTCTCCACTAGCACCTTGCAGGCCTTGGCTTGTGCAAACAGCTGGTTCACCCGGGTCTCCTCTGTGTCAAAGTGCTTCCTATAGAAGGACTGAAGACAGAAAGACAGGCCGGAGTGAGCACTACTTGGCCACCCTCATGCCACTGGGATGTAGCAGAGTATGCTGCGGAGAGACGCGGGTGGACAGAGGCGCCCTGCTGGGGCGCAGGCGGGCATAGGACCGTGTCTAGTCACAAACCTGTGTCTGTCCCATGCTAGAGGGCACAGGGGCACACAGAGGACTCAGGAGAGGAGTGGCCAGGCTCAGGCCATCCTCTGGCAAATATGAGCCTGAAGCAAATAAAGGCTTGTGAAGGGAGGATCCAGCCAGAAAGGGTCCATTGATCATAGTATTTTTTTTTTTTTGGAAACTAAAAAAAGACTTTATTGAGGGCAAGAGGATGCAAACAATATGAAAAGCAAAAGCTCATCTAGCATTTAACTAGCTTTCCCGTCTCTACTTGTCCAGTGAGAGCTGGATGTCATCTGTACATTTCCGAAGGGTCCTGGTCTGCTCATGAAATCTTTACCCAAGGGGAAACAGAGGGGCAGCTTCCGTAAGTGGAGAGCTCTCATCAGGGCGGGGTCAACGTTCAAGTCTGCCCACTTCTTTCCCTTCTGCTTTACGTGTACTGCAACATAATCCCTACACGCAACGGTGAGGCCCACAGTCAGTGAACAGAAGCTCTGGAGGCCCGCTTTGCCATCTCAGCCCTGGTCCAGCTCCTTCATGATCTTGTCCCCAGCCAGAGGATCTTTTCGATTTTCCAGAAACCCAGGGAACCCCTCTTCCACAAGCACTCGCGGGTCCGCCTTTGTTAAGCAGCCTTTTGCCCCCGGCAACTGTGTGGTTTCCATGGCGCGTTGCATTTGGGATGGCATTTGGGCGAAGTCTGTGGAAACCTGGGCGTGCAGGCAGCAGGGAGTGGGGAACACGGAATGGGGCTACTGAACCGACTTTATTTGGTACAGGGACCTTAAGTGGGCAGAGAGCCCCCATGGGGGACGCCGAAGAGAACCTACTTCTCAGGCCCATTTCTCTGCCTCATCCAGGCCAGATTTATTAGCTTTCTTCCCCTGGCCCGGAGGGTTCACAGGACAGGCTAATTTGGCCCCAGCTACCATGTGACGGTCTTCTATCCAGTAAGGTCAGCAGTGACTCTGCCGGTGCCAGGTTCTGAAGCCTAGGCCAAAATCTGCTTCGAGGCAGGTACAACTGGCCCTAGCTCTGCATGGGGGTAGAACACACTGGTATTCTGGTAAGGTCATCTAGGTTGGCATTATTTTTGAAGAGGAAAAAAAAAAAAGGAAAGACAATATTGGTTTTTATTTCAGAACACCAATTGCCAAGCTTAGAGCTGGCTGTCCTGATGAGAAGGAAGCGAACAGGCAAATGTGCCCAGCGCAGCTGCATGTCCCTGTAATCCCAGCTACTCAGGAGGCTGAGGCAGGAGGATCAAAAGTTCAAGGTCACCCTGGAACTAGCAAGACTTTGTCTCAAAGTAAAAGGGTCAGCAATACAGTTCAGTGGCAAAGCACTTGCCTAGCACAAACAAAGCCCTAGGCTCAATCCCCAGTACAACAAAACAAAAACAACAACTAAAAAAAACAAAAACAAAAACAGACAAATGATGCCCACATAAGATCAGAGTTATATGCTCTGAGGCCCTCAGCCTGCCTTGTGCCAGGAGATGGTAGGAAGAATGCAGAAGCCAGATGCTCCTCTGCATATCTTCCAAGTATGTAGGAAGGCAGGCAGGAGCCAGGACTCGAAGCTTAAATGTTCCAAGCACAGTAGACACCAAGGTCCCCTTTCTGACCGGCTTGCAAATCCTGCCAATAGCCCATTTGCCACTGCCTCATTCTCTGCACTCGTGGGTCCACTTGAATGCCTTGGCCTTAATCACCCTCTCTTCTAACTACCACAACTGGACCACCTAGTGTGGGAGCCCGCTGGCATTTGACATTGGAAAAGTAACTTCTTCTACCATTGAGGCATACCTAGTGTGGGAGCGCTGGCATTTGACATTGGAAAAGTAACTTCTTCTACCATTGAGGCATTGACACAATCTATGACTCTATTTGGCTTTTCTGAGATGAGGGTCTCAGCTATGCAGATGAGATTGACCTGGAGCTCTCTGTATAATCCAGGCTGAGCTCACTGTGTAATCCAGGCTGGGCATATGGGATTATCCAGGCTGGGTTTATGGGATTACGGGTGTTGACCTGGAGCTCACTGTAATCCAGACTAGTCTTATGGGATTACGGGCGTGCACCACCACGCCCGGCTCAAGGACTTTGTTAAGTTTGACCTTTGATCTCCTCCCTAATATTGCTTGATGTTTCCTGTTGGCTTGCCTTTAAAAGGAGCTGTTTCTGTGTAATAAATCGGACCTCTTGTCTCCACACTATTGAGTGTGCTGTCCTTTCTCAATCCTCACTCCCCAACTCAGGTACATTCGTGTTGTGATGGCCGAACCGCCACAAGTGGCGCCCAACGTGGGGCCTGGGTATCGAGGGATCCAGTGAAGGACACCGCAGAGAAGAAGGAGGCCTCAACGAAAAGGTAAGGAGCGGTGAATTTTCTTGTAAATATTAAAAATGGGAGCCAGCATTAGTTACATGTTTTTTGTACATATTTTTAAAAATTTATTGAGTGTAGAGGAACCTGAATCTTATGATGAAAGTGAAACTATTGTTCCCACGGCTCCTCCGGAGCCCCTAGGCCCTGAGGAAGAAGCTGCTAAATATTATGAAAATGTATGGCAGCCTTCAGTGGCAGCAGCCCATACTAAAAATTCGCAAAAATTTCAGTTAGAAGACAGGATGGAAAAAATAGAAAAAATGATGGAAAATCTGTCTCAACAAATGGAAGCTCAATGGACTAGTCATAAACCTCCTAAAAACATGCCTAGCCCAGTGGCAAATCTTAATCCTTCCCCTTGTGACAATCGGTTAGAAAAGGAACCTTCTTTGATTGCTTTGGCTTCAGGACCTTGTGAAGGCTGGAAGCCTGAGAGAGTAAACTCCCAACTCCTTAAGTCTCCAGTTCAACAGGGTTTACAACAAGCCCTTAAAGAGGGTGAGGATGTATCTGCATTTTCTCTGGCCTACCCAGTTTTTGAGACTCAGGATGCTCAGGGAAACCTTGTTCGTCAACATGCTCCAATTCCTTTTCAGCAATTAAAAGAATTAAAAATGGCTTGTGCCCAATATGGGCCGACTGCCCCTTTTACTTTAGCGGTGCTAGATTCTCTTGCAACTGAGGCCTTGCCACCTTCTGATTGGAAACAGATTGCTAAGGCTTGCCTAGCTGGAGGAGATTATTTGTTATGGAAATCTGAATATTCAGAACAATGCCAGAAAGTAGCAGATCTTAATAGACAGCAAGGAGAACTTAATGTAACTTATGAGATGCTAGCAGGAGAGGGATCTTATGCTGAGGTTACTCAGCAATTAGGTTTTCCCCCAGGTGTGTATGCTCAGATTAATACTGCTGCTAAGAATGCTTGGAAAAAACTTCCTTCATCTGGACGAGCCTCAGAAGATATTTCTAAAATCAGACAAGGGCCAGATGAACCTTTTCAAAATTTTTTAGATCGTTTGTTAGAAACGGCCAGCAGAGTCATAGGAGAATCTGAAGCTGGTATAGTTTTAGTAAAACAATTGGCCTATGAGAATGCTAATTCTGCCTGCCAAGCCGCCCTTCGTCCTTTTAGAAAGAAGGCTGATTTATCAGATTATGTTCGCTTGTGTGCGGATATAGGTCCTTCTTACACTCAAGGCCTTGCCATGGCTGCAGCTTTACAAGGAAAAACTATAAAAGAGGTTTTATATCAACAACATAGAAGGGGCCCTCCAAAAAAGGGAAATAATGGAAATTGCTTTGGCTGTGGTCAGGCAGGACATTTAATACGAGACTGCCCACAACGTAAAAAAAATGGATCTTTTTCAAAGCCTCCTAAAGAACCTGGTTTATGTCCTAAATGTAAAAGAGGAAAACATTGGGCCAATGAATGCAGATCTAAAAAAGATATTATGGGTAATCCTATCCAGTCGGGAAACGGATGGAGGGGCCAGCCTCAGGCCCCGTATCAAATTTTTGGGGCATTTCAGAATCCGAAACCTCAGATCAGCCCTCAAAATCAGTCAAAAAATCCGTTCAGGACTTATCCCGAGCCACCTCAGGCAGCGCAGGATTGGACCTCAGTTCCTCCTCCTATGTAGTATTAACCCCTGAAATGGGAATGCAAGCCCTACCCACTGGAGTTTTTGGGCCACTACCTAAAGATACTTTGGGTCTCTTGTTGGGTAGGAATTCCTCTGCTATGAAAGGGCTTATGATTTCCCCAGGAATTATTGATGAGGACTATACTGGAGAAATTAAAATTATGGTTTGTTCACCTTCTCAAATCTCTGTTATTCAGCCTGGACAGCGTATAGCTCAATTGATTCTTTTACCCAGAATAGTTACCTCAGGAAAATATAAAAAAGCCATTAGAGGGAATAAAGGTTTTGGGTCCTCAGATGTTTATTGGGTGCAGTCTATTGGAGCCAATAGGCCAGAGATAAAATTGTTAATTCAAGGAAAATCTTTTATTGGGTTATTAGATACTGGTGCTGATGTCTCTGTTATAACTGCTGACCAGTGGCCTTCCACATGGCCTTTGCAGGAGACTGTCTCTCAATTACAAGGCATTGGTCAAAGTAAAAATCCTAAACAAAGTACTGATATGTTAAATTGGAGTGATTCTGAAGGACATTGTGGGACTTTTCAGCCTTATGTTGTTCCTGGCCTCCCGGTTAATTTATGGGGAAGAGATGTCATGCAACAGATGGGAGTCTATTTATATAGCCCCAATCAAAAAGTTTCTAATCAAATGTTTGATCAAGGATTCTTGCCTAATGTTGGTTTAGGAAAGGAAGGTCAAGGAATTCAATTTCCTGTGACTCCGATAGCCCATTCTCCTAGACAAGGCCTGGGATATTTTCCCTAGGGGTCATTGACATGCCTGCACCCCATGCAGATCCAATAGTCTGGAAAGATGAAAAACCTGTTTGGGTTGATCAATGGCCCTTAAATAATGAAAAGTTAATAGTCATCCGACAGTTAGTGCAGGAACAATTAGATAAAGGCCACATTGAACCGTCTGTCTCTCCTTGGAATTCCCCAATTTTTGTTGTAAAGAAAAAATCTGGTAAATGGAGATTATTACAAGATTTAAGAAAGATTAATAAAACTATGGAAATCATGGGAACATTACAACCTGGTCTCCCCCTTGCTTCCGCAATACCTAGAAATACTTTTAAAATAATTATTGATCTAAAAGATTGTTTTCATACTATACGTCTAGCTCCTACAGATTGTAAACGATTTGCTTTTAGTGTTCCTTCTATTAATTTCCAGGAGCCTATGCAAAGGTACCAATGGAGAGTTTTGCCTCAAGGTATGGCAAATAGCCCTACCTTGTGTCAAAAGTTTGTAGCACAGGCACTTTCCTGTGTTAGACAAAGTTATCCTTCTGTTTATATGATACATTACATGGATGATATTCTTTTAGCAAATGAAGATGAACCATTATTGCTTACTGTATTTGTTTATTTACAAAAGGTTTTAAATGATTATGGATTAGTTATTGCTCCTGAAAAAATTCAACGGGAATCTCCTTTCTCATATTTGGGATATCAACTTTATCCTCGAAAAATATTTACCCAAAAGTTACAGATTCGAAAAGATAATTTGAAAACTTTTAATGATTTTCAAAAATTGTTAGGAGATATTAATTGGATAAGGCCTTATTTAAAATTAACTACTAGAGAATTAAAACCGTTATTTGACATCTTGAAAGGGGATCCTGATCCTTCTTCCCCCAGGACCCTTACATATGAAGGACGATTGGCTCTTCAAAAGGTGGAAATAGCCATTTCTAATCAACAGATATTTTATTTTGACTATCAAAAACCCTTAGAAGCTTTTATTTTTCTAACCAAACATTCCCCTACAGCCGTTTTGTGGCAGGACGGACCTTTATTGTGGTTACATTTATCTGTTTCGCCTGCTAAAAATTTACAACCTTATTATGAAGCTGTTGCCCAACTTGTTCAATCAATCCGATGTAATGCTCGGAAATATTTTGGTTTGGAACCTTTCAGTATTGTAATTCCCTTTACAGGAAAACAACTAGATTGGCTGTTTCAGAATTGTGATTCTTGGGCTATTGCATTTGCACATTTTTCAGGTCAAATTAAATTTCATTATCCACCTAATAAATTGTTACAATTTGCAAATCTTCAATCTTTTATTTTTCCAAAAATTATTTCATTTAGGCCTATACCTGATGCCATTGTTATTTTCACTGATGGGTCTTCTAATGGAAAAGCAGTTTATGTTATTGATGGTCATGAAAAGGTTTTTTCCACACCTGCTGCTTCAGCACAAGTAGTTGAATTGCGTGCCATTCTTTTTGTTTTTCAGGAATTTGCTCATGTTTCTTTTAATCTATATACTGATAGTCAATATCTGGCTAAAGCCCTTCCTTTTTTAGAAACTGTAGCCTGTATTGATACCAGTAGTTTAGAAGTTCAACAACTTTTCATTCAAGTACAAAATTGTATTCATGCTCGTTCTCTTCCTTGTTTTATTGGACATATTCGAGCTCATGCTGTTTTACCTGGTCCATTGTCTTTGGGGAATCATCTTGCTGATGTCTCCACAAAATTTATTGCATTTTCAAAAATTGATTTAGCTCGTCAATCTCATCAACTCCATCACCAGAATAGTCGTACTCTTAGATATCAATTTCAGATTCCTCGAGAAGCTGCCCGACAAATTGTCAAACAATGTTCCACTTGTCCTCAATTTTCTTCTGTTCCACATTATGGTGTTAATCCTAGAGGTTTGCTTCCTAATCAATTATGGCAGATGGATGTCACCCATATCATGGAATTTGGAAAATTGAAATATATTCATGTTGTTATTGATACATTTTCTGGTTTTATTTTGGCCTCCGCTCAAACTGGGGAAGCTACAAAGCATGTTATTACACATTGTCTTTTTTGTTTTTCTGTTCTTGGAGTGCCTTCAAAGATTAAAACAGATAATGGTTCTGGCTATACTAGTAAAGCCTTTTCTAATTTTTGTCAACAGATGTATATTAAACATGTTACTGGTATCCCTTATAATCCCCAAGGACAAGGAATAGTTGAACGTGCTCATGGCACACTGAAACTACAGCTTCAAAAAATAAAAAAGGGGGAGTTATATCCCTCCTCACCTAGAAATTATTTAAATCATGCTACTTACATTCTAAATTTTTTACAAATGGATAAGAATGACCATTCAGCAGCAGAAAGATTTTGGCATCCACAAGGTTCTCCATATGCTTTGGTAAAATGGAGAGATCCTTTAACTAGCCAATGGTATGGACCTGACCCTGTTTTAATATGGGGCCGAGGGCATGTTTGTGTTTTCTCGCAGGAACATGATGGAGCTCGATGGCTACCAGAAAGACTGATTCGTCATGTGGATACTCCTGCTGATGTCAGTTCCTGCAAGATGTGATGCCAATCCTCAAGGACATTGGACTTATATGCCAGATCCTCTCCTCACACATCCTGTCTCATCTGATTCACATGAAGTGCCAGTACTTGTGAATAATACAAATATACTTGGTCATTTATAAAGTACTGTTTCTATGTTATAAAGAAAATGAGACTGCTACATTGAGAAGTTTTTCTGGGACAAAAAGGACATTCCTCAATCTTTAACCAACACTACATCAAAGAGTTCATCTGCTGGTCTTAGCCTTTCTTCTGGACTTTGGTGGACAGTTTCACATTTTCTTCAAACCAACATTTGGAAACCTGCTACTGCATTGGGAGAAATATGTTTATGGTCAGAGGTCAAAGTTACTAGCCTTAGTTTCAATATTGTTGGCATAGGTGCCTCTAATATAATGTCTTGTGTTAACGCTCCTTATATGTTATTAGTAAAAAGTGTAGAGATTGTAAATGAAACTGATAATGAATATGACAACAGCTCTTTTAATTGTAAATTTACCAATTGTATATTCTCAGAGATGATGACTCCCTTTCATT